AGACAATGGCCCCGAGTTTTATCTACATGATCAGTGATCCTCTCACCCCAGATGATGGGTACTCCTATGCCYGGGTTCAAATGAGGAAAGTTGGACCCCAAGAAGTGGAAGGAACTTGCTGGTGGGGGAGCCGGGCTGGAGTCCACGGTGAAGGGCATCTGTAAACAGTTGGCTGCAGGCAGGAGGAACAGTGAAGGGGGCCGGAGGATCTGCTCTKGGTGTGGGAGGAAGAGCCCTGGGTGTCCAGCCAGCTCCTGAGCACCCTGTGCACTCACCTGCAGCCACACCACGGTGACATCTCCTCTCCTYCCAGCGTAGTGGGAGCTCACCTGTGATGGGAGGCAGGGGTGCAAGGAGCTCACAACATGGTTTGCATGGCACTGACTTTGGCTGAGCTGTGCCAGGTTTTCTGCATAATCTAGAACGTTCTTCAGATTCTGCTGCACAGTGATGCTGTTTTCGAGGTGCTGCCGTGACGCCTTCCTGGAGGGGACAGAGCAGACCCTCGTGTTCCCGTTGGCTAGGGTGCACTGTGCCCAGGTTCTGCTCACAGAGGACATCTGACAGCCTGGGCCTCGCCCCCAGCACCTGGGCAGRAAGCCTCAGAGGACACCTCCAGCCAGGCCACAGGCAGACTCCCTCCCTCCCCCCAGGCTCACAGCCTCCCTGCCCCCATCAGCACCTTATCATGGTTTTCAGATAAGAARACCATGTGACTCAGCCTGGGCAGAAGAGACAGCGGAGCAAGAGCTCTGTGGCTGTGCTGCAGGGTGGGTGATGGGCGCCAGAGCTGGGCCTGCAGAGTCCAGCTGGGGAACTTTCCACTTCTTCTGACATCCCCGTCCCTCAGGCAGATCCGGGCGCAGTGGCAGAGACCTGAGATGCCTCGCGGCGGTGGGGATGCCGGGCCTGAGTCCTGCTTCTGCCCTTGCCCTCGGCATGACCTTGGGTTTCCATCCAGAGCCACAGACCCACCCGAAGGGCCGAGGGGAGAACCCAGAGGGCACGCTGGCACAGAGCCAGGGTCATGGCTGCTGTCACAGTGGGATGCTCCCCCCACCCCTGCTCCTTCTCTGTTGCTCCTACCGGTGGCTTGACCGCCTCTTGCCCCAGATCTGTGAGTCTTGTCTTCCCCACTGCGTCCAGGAAACCTGACTCTTTTCCCACAATGAACACATGCTGGTTCTAGATGGAGCCGAGCCTGGGGAGCAGAAGGAGGGACGCAGGCGTGGAGGGGGCTAGTGGAGCATGTGTCCTCGAGCGTGGGGGGTGGGGCGCTCCTGGCACCGTCCCCATGTGTTTCCGGCAGGCACGGCTTGGTTTCATTTTTCTTTCTGCTGGGTGGCCACAGGTGTTATGCCCACTCACGGATCAGAACACTGAGGCTCAGGGAGGTCACACAGGGTCACAAGGTGATGCCCAGCTGCTCGGGGCTGCCTGGGAGCTAAGAAGAAATGCAGATGGCGCCCTCCCGTCGGAGGAGCTCGCGACCTGTGCTGTCCCGTCCCGTCCCAGGCCCCTGTCTTCTTTCTCTCCCTCTGCACAACCTGAGGGTGCAGAGCAGGGTCCAGGTCTGAGCAACGTGGAGAAGTCGAGAATGAGTTATGCCCTGGGTGTACTGCAGAGTGCAGGGGCGAGGTCCCCGTGGAGGCTGGCCACCACGATCTGTCATGGGTCACCCCGAGGAGAGCTGACTCCCTGTTCTTTGGCCCCTCCGTAGAGGTGAAGTGCTGCATTGTGAACAGGTGACGGGCTTCCCCCCCTAACTCAAGCCCACCCTCATGATAAGCAAGGGTCTTCTGCTTAATATTCCTATTTTATTTTGGAAATCACAATGGTCAGCGGCATCCCTGCCGACGGTCCTGACCACCCGTTTGAGAAGCACTGGCTGGAGTCCTGCCGTTCCTCAGCAGGGCAGGGAGTGGCCATTGCCCCTGTGTGGGGCAGGAGGCCCCCTCCACCGTGAACCTCTCCACACACTCACGGGGTGCACAGTCCCAGAAAGGCAGAAGCTCTGGTTTGGTTTCAGCTCAGGAAGGTGCCAGCCTCAGCTCCCACSGGCTCAAGGTCAAGGGTCAAAGTTCGTTTGCTGGCCTTCCCAGGGGCCCTGCCGGCTCCTGTTCTGTCTCTTTTGGTGTCCGGCTCAGAGAGACCCTAGGGACACCCGGAGTTCACTTACTGCACACGTACACTCACACTCATTCACACATGCACACACACACACACACACACACACACACACACACACACACACTAACACCAGTTCTTCAACGCCCTGGATGTCCAACAACTCAACTTGGATCCTACCCACAATCACCACAGACCCCATAAGTTAAAGGACAAGGCCCCCGCCACACGGCCCCTCAGATGCCTGCCACAGGTGGGGTCCCTGAGCTACCCCCACTTCTGTCCAGTGTGATACAAATTTGGGGATTCGAACAACGATGTTCAGGTCTGATGGAACCCCCCAGAACTCACTGGAATTCATAATCACAAGGACAGTCTCATCACAGAGGATAAAACTCAGGACCCACCGGGTGGAAGAGGCACGTGGTCAGATCTGGGGCTGGTGGGGCGCTGAGCTCCGGTGCCACTCCCTGAGGGCCAGGCGCGTGGCTCGCCTGTGTGTTTCCCAGCCCCACGCGCCTGYGCTCCCAGCCCAGAGGTCCGTGAAGGCTTCTCTTCATAGGCCTGATGGGCTCCATCACCRGTCTGGGGCGGGGGACACCTCCAGTCTGCTCCCCTCCCCAGACAGAGGGGGCTAGAAGAGCTGACCCTCTAGCCCGGTGCTGGGTCTTTCTGTGGTGGCCATTCCTCAAAACCAAGGCCCCTGGAGTCACCTGTGGGCTCAATCTCAGGTGTGAACAGAGGGCTCCTTAGGCGTGATGGACTCCCCCATCAAGAAATTCCGGGGTCTTCAGAGCTCTGTGCCAGGACTCAGGAACCAGGACGTGTTCTCTTGTGCRGCCTGCTCACCCACACGCTCATTCACACTCCTGCTGCCTTGCACACTCGGGTTTCCTGGGCCTGGGGCGAGAGGCAGCTTGAACCTCTGAGGAAGAGGCACAGCCGTCTCTTCCTGAAAGACGAGTCCCGGGTCAGCTGAGTTCAGGGGAACACTCAGGGTGCCGTGGTGGGAGCCCCAGCATTGCCCCTGAGCAGAGAGCAAGGGCCGCTGAGGCACCTGGGACTGAGCCCAGCCTCTGCCAGGCCCCCTTCCACCCGGCAGCCCCCAGGAGCAACCCTCTGGCCTCCCTCCGCCCTGCGCCCGTCTCTCCTCCTGCTCTGCTTGTGGAAGGGGCTGTGGAGCCACTTCYCACCGCGGTTCAGTGACTGACAGATCCACCATGTCACCTCTCAGGAAGGGCCTTGCACACTCTTAGACAGCAAGCCTTGAGCGATGGTGAGGCTGGGGGACATCGAGTGTCCAGAGTCCAAAGGGCCTGGGCTCAAACCTCATCCTCAGCACCTCCTGCCCTGTGACCTTGAACATTACCTGCCTCTYGCCGCCCTCAGTTTCCTCGTCTGTGAAATGGGGACATGGCCTTCCCCATAGATTTAATAAGAAATTAGTGAGACTGGGCTTGGGGAGAGTAGGGAGGCACACACGTCAGCTGCTACGAATCAATAGTAGTAATATTATTACTATGTTYTATTAATAATTGCAGTAGCGGTTATAATGCTAGCAATATAGTAAGAAGATCAGTAACCAGTACCCACGGCAGAGGACCTGGAGCCTCGCGGGAAGTGCTCCTCCAGAGCCTCCCAGGCTTGAGGCCACGTGCTTGCCCCCTGGGSTGTCCCATGGCCTCACACCCAGCCTGACTCAGCAAGGTGGGCCACAGTCCTGGCTGGGGCCCTGGGGCCCGAGTGCAGGAGACTTAGACTCCAGGGCAGGGGAGGGGGGAGGGGGCCCGCTCCTTCCCTGGAGGCTGTGCCCCAGGAGTCGGGGAGGTTCCCAAAGGTGTCACCTGGGAAGGAGGTATGAGCTTGGGCAGGGCCAGCTGAGTCTGAAACGGACATTGTAAGGCAGCAGTTTGTGACAGACAGCAGAGAGGCCTCTCCCCTTGATGGCCCCAGGGAGACCACTGCCCGTGGGGACCCCCCTGGAGTGGAACCATGGCCTGAGCCACAGATGTCAACAAATCCACCGGCTATGTTCAGGCCTCAGCTCACAGATCCACCCCCGGGCCAAAGCAGAGGCAGGTTCCGGTCCAGGGGAGAGGCTCCGTGGCAAGACAGAGTCAGGTCTGCCGGCCCTGGGGTCTGCATGGAGAAGCCCATGTCAGGGCGTCCTGGGCACCAGTGCCTGGATGGATGCCAGTTCTGTGCCCACAGCTGGGAGGCCTTGGCAGGCTAAGCTTCCTGCGCGTCCTGTGGCTCAGTCAGCTGTCACCCAGCCTGAGGGAGCAGGTCCTGGGTGAGCAGGGACAGCCGCGTCTCTTCACCTGTAAAGTGGGGACAATAAGGAGAGTGTCACCTTGGAACCAGTTGAGAAGATAGAATCTGTTACTCTATGCCAAGTGTAGTGCCAATTCCTGTCACCACGAGAGTTCCTCGTAAATACTAGCTGTCTTTGTTTGGGCATAGAAAAAGAAAAAGTGTGAATGGATGCTGCCTTGACTGTCCCCCAAGCCCACGCCCCCAGATCTGYGGGCTGGGGGTGGGGGTGGACATTCACCCTGACTCCCGTGCTACAGGGCACATCAGAGTGGCCACATCCCCCCCTGCAGAGCTGCATGGCAGGGTTCAGGGTTTCAACCCCTGGACCCCGAGACCGAGTCTCTCACACCCTGAAGGAACATCCACTTGGAGGGCAAATGAGAAACTGGGACTAAGGAGACTCCATCGGGACGTGGGCCAGAGCCCAGATCCTGGGAGGGGTGACTGACCGCCTCACCTGCCTCCTGCCCTGGGAACCTGYGGATGACGGCGGCTCCCTGATGTCCTTCTGGCCTCCCCCAACTGTGGTTCATGGAGCTGCCTCTTCTTGGTTTCAGATGTTCCTGGTCYGCAGGGACAGCAGCTTGAAGCGCCTGGTGCTCTGTGTGCACTTCCCTTCCCTGAGCGACAGCTCCTCCGAGGTGCTCGAGTACACCATCAAAGAAGAAAAGTCGCGTGAGTACCCGGCTCCTTGCTCTCCTGGGACCTCTCGGGGCTGCAGCAGCAGCAGCAGACGTGGCACCTGCTAACCACAGCTCTCCTGTCTGCGCCCACAGGGTCTAAAATTAGAAGGGGACAAACTGTCAGCCTGCTGATGTTACCTGGCCAGGCTGGCTCTGAACTCAGCTGGTCACACACAAGTCAATGTTAGTTTCCAGTCACCCTCATCGGGGCTGTTGGCTTTGCTCCTCGTGGTCACAGAGAAGCCTCCCTGGTTCACTTAGCACAGGATGCTGGGGCTGGGGGGAAGGGGGGAAAGAAACTGCCTGGGCCCTCAGAATCAGCTGGGCACGTCCTCAAGCCATGTTCTGGGACCAGCTCTTTAACCTCTCCAAGCCTCAGAGGTCTCTTCTATTAAATGGACATAAGAGTCATTTCCTGCTTGGATCACAGAACTTCGCCAGGGTCAAGTGGGGAAGCCCTTTGAAAGTCAAAAACCCAAAGCAGGCGTGGGCCTCCTCTGAGAGCTGGTTAGGGGTCCCGTTCAGGGTAGGTTTGTACTGAGAAAATATTTTCAGGCTGGGCCCCTCTTGACCTCTGGCTCAGTTACCTGAAAGGGCTTGTCCCTCATCTATGGGTCACGTGCGCACACTCCAGGCATTAAACTCCAAAAAATGTTTATTAAAAGAACCCGTGGAGGCTGGGATGGTGGCTCAGTGGTAGAGCACTTGCCTAGCATGTATAAGTAAGGCACTGGGTTCGTTTCTCAGCACCACATATAAATAAATAATAAATAATCCCATCAACAACTAATAAAAATATTTTTTAAAAAAGAACCCGTGGAATATTCCAGGCTCTGGTTTGGTTTACATCATCTCAGAAATGGGACCTTTTTACCCTTCATCAGCCACTGAGTGACTGCAAAGAAGGGCCCTTGAATATTCTCGAGTGCTTGTTTCTCAAGAAACATTTGTATGGACAGAAGGAAGTGCAAAGAGGAATAAGAGGGAGTCCCAGCCCAGGGATCCCCAGTCAGATTGAAGGGGGGACTWCCCAGGGTGGGAGGGACAGCCCTCACCTGCTGTGTGGTGAGGCAGGTGGTACTGCAGAGGGGCCCCTGGGAGGGCCGTGGCAGGGGCAGATCACTGGGGGAGGACTCAGAGAGGGTGTCTGCTAGAAGGACTGAGGTGCGTCAAGAAATCAAAGGCATGCTTGGAATGGGTCGGCAAGGCAAGGCTGTACTTCTGCAGAAAGGTGCCCCCAGAGCCAATCCGGCCAGTGAGCACACCTGTGCAGGCTGGCCACCTGCTTTTGTCCCTAGTGTAGTACTGCCCCTTGCTCCAATAGGAGGAGTTCATGGTTACAATATATGTGATTAGCTAATTAAAATTGAGGAGGGCACAGGAAACAGACTACAGTTGTGATTAGGTACCTGTTAGGGAATTTCAAAATGACTTCATTCCTCAGGACATGGTGGCGCACACCTGTAATCCCAGTGGCTCAGGAGGCTGAGGCAGGAGGATCCTGAGTTCAAAGCCAGCCTCAGCAACTTAGCGAGGCCCTGACCAACTTAGTGAGACCCTGTCTCTAAATAAAATACAAAAGAGGCCTGGGGACATGGCTCAGTGGTTAAGCATCCCTGGGTTCAATCTCTGATACAAAAAAACAAAAAAGGCTACATTCTTCTCCACAAGGTTTCCTAATTTAAATGGTTCCATTATACATTGTAAAATTTAAGTTACAGTAAACATGCTTGTGTGTTACATTACAGGTTTAACTTTGATAGAAGAGAAAACATTAATTTTACAGTGTCCAAGACAAGGGAGGATTCGGGCTGGGTCCCAAAGGTTTATTAGTTCAATTAAAGTCTAATTTTCTAGAAAGCAAAAGAAGTGGGTCGCTTTTCCTGTTGGGGAGGGTCTTTCCACAGAGACCCAGGCCACGCAGCATGGGTAAGGCACATCTCATTCAGTGTGTTTGACACCTGGTTATGGGGGTGAGGCGCTGCTCCACTGCTGGGGACACAGCAGAGACAAGAACTCCTTGCCTCTCGGCATATGGTTCACATGGAGGGAGAAGACAGTAAGCAGTAAGGGCACAGGGTGACCGTCAGGTGGAGAGTCACTAGTGGACCTGGAGGGATCCCATTTCCGTCACACACGCAAGAGTGCTTGTTGTTCAGGGACCCTAGCTGAGTGGCTCTGTCACCTTTGGCATACAGCTGAAGTTTCTCAGGGTTGGGTCCAGGGTCCCCCACAGGCTAGAAAGGGAAGAAGCTTGTGGGAGGGTCTTACAACCAAGGCCCTGTGACTGCATTTCATTGGCTAGAATTCAGTCATATGACTATACCTAACTGCAAAGGAGCTTGGGAAATGTAGTCCAACCATGAATCACAAAATGTAGTCCAACCATGGGGTACCCAGGAAAAAGAACCCTGGATGAAGTGCTGGAATCCTGCTCCCTGGGTCAGGGAATAGGAGTGTGGGGCTGGGGAAAAGGCAGTTCATTTATGTAGACGACCTAAATGACGGTCCCTCCCGTGGAGTCCAGGAGGGGGGAAAGTGTGGGGTGTTATGGTCTTTCCTGAATAAGTACACACACAGCCCCCCTGACTGCAGAAGGGTGGAGTCACTCTCTTACTGAGAGAAACCAGGCTTTCTGGGACGAGGCTTCCAGATGTTAGGTACCTACAGTCCTTTTGGAACCCAAGAACCTCCGGGGCCTTGAACTTCAGCAGCAACATTGGAAAGGTGGCTGAGAGCGGGGCGAGCCTGTCCAGAATGCCTTGAACGCAAGACGCTGTGGCTGGTGGCAGAGGAGGAAGTGGGCGAGGGAAAGACCCAGGCCTAGAACTGGCGCTGGTGTTGGGGTTCCCCACCCAGAGCAGAGGCAAGGGAAGGAGACAGGGGCTGCCCCGAAAGTGAGTGGTCAGCAACCTCTGTGATCTCACTCTGTTTTCTTGGAACATCTGTTTTGGCCACTTCTGTGCTTCTGTGGGCTCAGAGTGTCCCCTAGCGTCTTGTGAAGRGTGTCTTTGAAAATCCCGGAGCCAGTCGGCTTGGGCCAGTGTGGCTGTGGTGACTGACACACAGCCCTAAACCCTATGGCCTTGCATAAAGCAGCATCCCGTCCAACTGTGCTGACATGTATGTTCTTGTGCTGTCCCTCACTGGGGTGGCTGCTGGGTCTTTCGGGCACATTTCCTCACTGGTGCAGCACCCATCCGGGGCAGTGGGAGGGGCAGAAGACAGAATCCCAGGATGGCTCTGGAAGCCCACAGAGGACAGGCACCACTTCCTGGAATAGCTTATCCACCAAAACAGGCCACGTGGCCGGGCCAGACCTCATCGGACGAGCAGAGGAATCCTCCCGTGCACGTGTGAATGGCAGGGGCAACTCTTTGGAAAAGTCATGCTTGGGGAGGGGCCAGAGAAGCAGCAGGAGATATCGGGGCAGGAGCTGTACAGGAAGGCCTAGAAGATTCTGGGATGGGTAGGGGCTGGGCCAGCTGCTGGCTAGCAACCCTGCCCTTGATGGCCGAAATGAAGCACCTAGTCAGAATCACTACATGTGGAGTATCCCTTCTCCAAAAGGCTTGGGACCAGAGTTGTCTGAGACTTTGGATTTCTCTTTCTTTCTTTCTTTCTTTCTTTCTTTCTTTCTTTCTTTCTTTCTTTCTTTTTTTTTTTTTGCAGGGTTTGGAATATTTGCATATATGAAATGAGATGTCTTGGGGATGGGACCCAAGTCTAAATACAAAGTCTATTTGTTTCCGATTCACCTGTGAACATAGCCTAAAGATCATTCTACTCCGTGTTTTCAGTCTGTCTGCGTTTTGGCTGCGACACATCCCAAGGGGCCAAGCGTGGAATTTTCCGGCTGTGGCATCAAGTCATCATTCCAAAAGTTTTGGATTTGGAGCATTTTGGATTTTTAGGTTAGGGATGCTCAACCTGGACCTACTTTTTCATTAATGGGCTTTAAAGATGGTGACAACACATGCCTACAATCCCAGCAGGTCAGGAGGCTGAGGCAGGAGGATTGCAAGTTCAAAGCCAGCCTCAGCCACCGTGAGGCGCTAAGCAACTCAGCAAGACCCTGCCTCTAAATAAAATACAAAACAGGGCTGGGACATGGCTCAGTGTTCGAGTGCCTTGGAATTCAATCCCCAACACACCCCCCCCCCTAAAAAAAAAAAAAAAAAAAAAAAAGATGGCAACAATGACAATCATGGGATGTTGATTTTCTGTTGACTGAGAAAAGCAAAAAGAAAACCAATCTGCCTGTCCCTGGAAGAGGAACAGTGAGGCCGCGGGCGGGTGTGGTCTGGCCTGTACTGCAGGGAGCCGCCCAGCGCGGGAGCTGAGCCTTGGCCCCTGTCACCTGCTCCCTCCTCCCTCCTGCACAGCTGACCCTGGCTTTAGAGAGGCCCGCCTGTCTAGCTCCGTCGATCTCCCACTCAGAGGCGTGCAGTTTAGTGGATAGATACCCGTGTAGCTGGGGAGGCACCGTGTCCCCAGCCAGTGTGGTGGTAAGGCTCGTGCTGAGCGTACTGGTGATCCTCACCACTGCACTGGGGCACCTTTGAAACCAAGGAAGGGAGAGATCTAGRTCAGTCTTCCTGGGCAGCAGAGATCTGAACGCCTGGGCAGGACAGAGCCCCGACTCTTTGACTTCTCCCAGTGCTCCAGGATTTGACAGTGTCACCAACTGACCCTTTATCCTAGAATGAGATTTAATCTGTATTTGAAGCTAGATAGGCCAAGGCCATTAAAAGAGGGAAATGATCAAGATTATTCAAGGAGAACGAGTGTGGAGAAGGCAGCCTTGTGGTATTTCCATGGGGAGGTGGTACTATGCATCATGGAGGGGTCTTGCTTCCTTGTCTCTGACAACCTCTTTGGAGAGCATGACATTAGAAAGGCTGTCAGTTCTAGGTTTTATGCTTGTGACATCAGGCAGGTTGAGTTACTCAACCTCCCTTGCTTCAGTTTCCCCAACGGTCAAGAGAGAAC